GTGGCTCAGCATTTCCAACAGTGGTGGCAGCACGCTGGGGCCGTCCCGAGACCCCCTGCTCCCATTTGAGGACTGTTCGCAGCTCTGACCCTTCCCTCCGGCCACCCCAAAGCCCCGAGCGGGATGAGGTGCCCAGGGAGCTCCTCGGTCCCAGGCCCGGCCTGCGCCCCTCCGGGCAGAGGAGCACCCAGGTCTCAGCTCCCAGCACGTAACCACGAGCCCGTCCTTCCTTCCTGTGCCACTGCTCCCCTACGTGCGCGCAGACGTAGCGGACACTTGCACATACGCACACGTACACAGAGCTAAACGGAACCCAGACCCACGTGCCACCATGAAACCGAGCTTTGAAAAGCTCCCAAATTTACTTCTGTGACCAGCAAAGGGCTCAGAGCCACTGAGCAGCCCCACGGCTCTCTTGGAAAGAGCCAGCGAGCGGCCGGCGGGGCCGAGCGCGCCGTGGTCGCGTCGGGGCGCGCGCTGGGCCCTGCGGCAGCTCTCCCACTCTCCTCCTTGTAGCAACACGTCTGGTAGCTGCTTTAATTCCTCCCTTGCTCATGCTAACAGCCTGCAAACCCTGAATTTCTCCTGTGTTTCCAACCCAGTGCATGCAGGAGGCCTGAAAGCCTCTCCCCGGCTCTGAGCAGCTATTCCCACTTCAATGCCAAAAGCGTGGGAAGAAAGCCAGGGGCAAAACTCTGGAATTTCAGCTCCGAAACGTCACTCCGCAAAAAAACATGGCTGGGGAGAGCGTTTCCAGGCGCACGAGGTGGGTCCGCAGCCCCCTTCCCTCCTGCGCCCGCTCTCGAGGAACCTGCAGCTACGACAAGGGTCTCAGATCGCGCACGGGAAGCGCCGCCCGCGCAACCCGCGGCCTCGACGCGCGATCGCACATTGCGGCCAGCAGCAAACGTGGGCCCGGGGTTAGGACCGTGCCCCTGTCCCCGGGACATGGAGGGAGAGCAGGAGAGCCCGGCAGCTGGGAATTACCAAGGGAATTAGGCTCTGGCCTCTGGTTTAGCGATTTGCTCTAATTCCTTCAGCTATTTCTCCCGGTTTCAGTAAAAGCAGCTCTTTGCTAATGGGTCGTAGCAACAAGAACGCCAATTTTATCAGGAATAAAACAAAGCCACAACATTTTCAAAGGGGAAAAGTAACTACGGTAAAAGCAGAGGGGAATCCCGTCGGATTCAACAAGACCCAGATGAAAAGCTTAAAAAGCCACGAAGGGTTTGAAGAAGTGCTGAGTGCGGGATCCCCCTGCCAGATTCCAAAGGGGAGGGAAAAGCAGCAATCAGAGTCTTTTAAAAAGCGAGATGTTATTTCTGGCCCGACCGCCGCCGAGTTTTATTTTTGCGAGCGGTCTTCCTCTACCTACCACCCTGCCGCGCGAGCAGGAAGGAGGGACGCAGGCGCTCCGACAAGCAAGAAAATACGAGCGAGATAAGGCTGCTGCTTGGGCATAAGGACATAAAAGCACTTCAGAAAACTCGCTTTCTCCCCAAGGATTTGCACCGATGAGCTGCATTTGAGCATGAACTCCCTGCTGCTTCCCCCTTCCCCTTTTTATTTAAGGCAGGTGAATCAGAGGCAGAACTAAACAGAACCAAAAAGCGCTCTTAGTGCGTGTGTGCCGGGGACGGCAGGCGCCGGCTCTGCTTCGTTTGAGTGATCCCTCCGGGAAGGCCGGGAGCGGCGCAGGAGCCGCGGGAGCCGCTCGGGAGCGCCGCGAGGCCGGGCCGCCCGCGCTACTCACTTTGAGCTGCGACTTGGACACCTTGCCGCTCTTCTCCACGTCCAGGGCGGTGAACGCGTACCAGATGGATTTGAGGAGCTCCGCGCGCAGCTCCATGGCTCCGGCGCCGAGAGGCGGCTCTGTCAAACGCCGCGAATCCGGTTTCAGGAAACGGAGCGGCCGGGGGGCCCGCGGCCGCCGGGGCTCGCGCGGGGCAGGAGCGCCATCTGCTTGGACGCGCCACGGAGAGACCCGGCACCCACGGCGGATCCTGGGGCCGAGGGAAGGCGCAAGAGGCTCTTCTGGGCTCGCTTGGAAAAGGACAGCGTGAATCCAGGCACGAACCAGGCAGGGGCTCCCAATCCCTCGCGGGCTCCGCCTGGAGAGCAAACCTTTCCTGGCACTTGCTCTGCAGAGAGAAACCCGCTCCCGATACGAAGCGGCCGCTTCCTCTTCTGCGATTTTCTGCATCGACCCTCCGTGGGGATAGAGGGGTAAATACCCGGCCCCGCGGAGCCGGCGCTGCCCTGCTCGCGCTCGCTGCAGCCACAGAAGGGCCAGAGCTCAAAAGGAAGGGCAGAAGAGCCAACGTTACAGCTGGGGGCATGAAGCAGCAGCCTGGGGCTCCTGCCTCAGCAAACCAAGAGGATTTGGGATTGTTTTTAATTTGCTCCTTCACTTTGCGTGACCTCTGCCTCTGCAAAACAGTCCCCTGCCCCCAAGATTGATGGAGAGAGGATTCTTTAAAAAAAGAGAGAGAGATCTCTTGTTTTTATTTCAGCTCAGTCTTCGCATCCACGTTAGCGTTTCCCCCTGTTTCGCAGCACTGAGGCCACTGAGGACGTTTTCTCGAGAGCTGAGGGGACGGGGGTGAAGGAACAGAATTGCTGCTGGACCCCAGCGCACGCGGGGCCGGCCGGGCGCTCGCAGCGTGGGAGCCGGGGAAAATCCGGGAATCCAGGGCTGCCGCTGCCCTTTTTGAGGCTTTATCGCCTCTGTGTGCAAGCTGCCCGTGTGCCCCTTGCAAACAGCTCCCCAAAAGGGACTTGGCACTCAGTGACTGCCGCCAGTGCTACCGGGCCGACCCTGGGAGGTCGCGGAAGCCTCAGCCACGACGGAGCAAGCGACGACACATCCTGCCCTGGCAGGAGTCACCTCCAAGGCGAGGAGCAGGGAAACCGCTGCTCTGAGGCCCGGAACGCAGAGGGGAGCAGCCATGGTCCCTGTGACGGGGAGAAGGGCCGTCCCTCGGGTCGGGCTGCGCCTGCTCCCGCGCGGTGTGGGCGGCTGCGGTCCGACTCCTTCCCGCGCGGCTCCCGCTCCCCACGGCTCCCCGCACCGGGTGGAAAACAGCCTGGGGGCTCCGCACGGTCTCGGAGGCCGCTCTCACCGCAGCGGGCACGAGGGGCTCGTGCCGCGTCACCGCGGCTGCCTCCGGGCTCTGCTGCTCTTCAGCTACAGGGGGAAACACGGAGGCCACCCCGGGTGGCTCCAGGGCAGCCCCAGCGGGACAGAGGTGCCCTAGGAGCCCTCCCCAAGCTCCCTGCTCCACAGTCTTATCCCTACGTGGCCCTGCTCTTCTCAAGGCACAGGACATCTGGGAATTAAGGAGAAATATCCCAGGACAGAGCAATTAGTGCAAAGGAGGAGATAGGTGCTGAAGACAGGGGGTAGCTGGGGATCCCGAGGGGGGACGGAGGGGAGCGAGGCCTGGGGTGCTGCTCGGTACCTGCCCCGCGATGCAGGGGCCGGTGGCAGCAGCCACCAGTGCCACCTGCTGATGACAGGGGGAGGTGACAGCCGATTCCTCAGGCACAGCTGCCCCTGAAGCAACTACTGCAACCTGGGAAGAGTTAAAATAAAAATAATCAGGTTGTAAAAGAAAATGCAGACTCCCTTTGGGCAGCAGCTTTCTGTGCACGGGAGAGCGGAGGCCCCCGTGTGCCACGGTGCGCGGCGATGCAACGGCTCCATCTCCAAAGCTTCGTTTCCATGCCAAAGCTGGGCTTGCTTCTTGCTGCATCACTCTGCTGCGCACATTCAACAGGTAACCGCACGTTCCCTGCACAAGGAACGGGACCGCTGGCGAGCTGGGGGGACGGTTTCAGCAAATCCAGTTTTGCAGGTTTATCCAAGACACTCGTGGATGTGGTGGGTCCCCCGAGCTGCCACCCCTGGCAGCCTGCGGGGCACAGACCGTGGTGCCGTCGCTGCCCGCAGCCCCGGGCCCTCCATCCCGCCGGCCCCTCCGCTCCTCAGACGGGGCGTTTGCTCCGTTCCGGGTGCTCCGAGAGCGCCACGGGAGCCCGGGCGAGGGGCCTAGGGTTTAAGCCTTGAACAAGAGGAAAAACTGCAGATAACATTTCTCCCAGCGTATCCCGGGTTTTGCATACTAAGAAAGGCTCGAAGGGTAAACTGCTTTGGAGACCATGGCCTGGGCGAAAGATGTGCCCCTTGCCCTGCCGCTGGCACGATTTTTAACCGGTTTTTAACGTGGCTGAGGCTAACAATCCTCTCTGCAGAGAAGTGGAGAAGAAAGTGTATCCAAAAAGCGCGGTTAGTCGTTTTATTCCCAGGACCTTGCCCGGAGCCCCGGGCCGTGCTCGCTGCCTCACGACACGGCGGCGCTGGGCCCCGGGGGCCGGCGGGCACCGAGGGCAGCGGCCGGGCTCCGCGGGGCGCCCGGGAGATCGAACCGGGGGGGACCGCACGGGGCGGAGCGGCAGCCCCGGCGCCTCGGCCGCCGCGTCCCCGCGCCCGCCACCCCGGAACCTGCATAGCGGCCGCGCGGCCCGGGGCGCTCCGGCCGCCGCCCCTCTCGTATCCAGGTTCCGGGGCTCCCGAGGCCCCGCCCCGCGGGCGCGCAGGCTGCCCCCGTGCGGGTGGCTGAGCGACCCTCCGCGCATGCGCCTGGCGAGCAATGAGGCCGCCAGACTGAGCTTGCCCTCACAAGCCTTGCCCTTACCCCGCTCGAGGAAAGCGCACGGAGCGGTGTCTGCGAGACGGCTTCGCGCTTGAGTTAGAATGGCGGCTGTTTGCAGAAAAGTGGGGCTCCAAGGCAACATGGTGCCACATCGCCATCACCTCCATAAGTCTTTCAAGGTTGCCCCCGATGGAGAGGTCCGCGCTACACCAACATGGCGCTGCCGCCAGTCCTCTTGTCTTTGCGCCCCGCAGCAGCAAAGTGTCCCGCGACACCCTGTACGAGGCGGTCAAGGAGGTGCTGCAAGGGAGCAAGACCAAGCGGCGCAAGTAAGAGCCCTGCGGAGGGTCCCGGCGCCTCGAGCGGCCCCTCGGCCCGGCTCGCGCGCCCAGCCCGGCCGGGGCCTCGCGCGAGCGGCTCTCCTCTCCCCTCAGGTTTGTGGAGACCGTGGAGCTGCAGATCAGCCTGAAGAACTACGACCCGCAGAAAGACAAGCGCTTCTCCGGCACCGTCAGGTTGGCCCTCCGCTAGGTGCACCCGGCCGGGGCGCTGCGCGTCCCCGCGGCGGGCGCAGCGCTGAGCACGGGTAGTTCGGAGCGCGCGGGCGCCTCCGGACGGACCCCTACCCTGGGTCTTAAAACATGAGGGGAGGTGTGGGGCGGCCGCAGGGCCAACCCCGCCGGCCTGCTGGGGAGGCAGGTTGGAGCTGCAGGCGGGTGGC